GCGCCCCCCCCCCCCCCCCACCGAATTGCCCTGCAACCAATTGGCTATACCGGCAGGCGTGGCGTCTTCCGCAACGGGTGGCAGGCCTGGCTAGCACCACCCCCACCACCCGACGTCTGCACCAGGGACTCACACACATGCACCCACCCATGGGCCCCCACACCTTGACGCAGCGGTTGAGGAGGAGGAGCGTGTTCTTGATCTGCATGTAGTCCTCGCTGCCCAGGCACGTCTTGAACACATCCTCCGTCAGCCTCTGCAGCGTGAGGGCAACCGAGGGGGAGGGGGGTGAGAGCTGCGCGCACGCTGCCGCACGGCTCTGCCGGCACAGGGTTCGTTCGTGAAATGGGCTTGGAAGACAGTCCAGGACAGTGATGCCATGAGGCAGCAGGTGTGCGGGGCTGGGCAGCACTCCCGGCATCGCTGGCCAAGAGGAACACTCATTTGACCCACGATCAACACCTCCCTCCCCAGGAAAGGCACCAGGCACCCCTCCCGGCAGCATGCCCCGGCCGCACCGGTGCAGCACCCCGGCCTGCGCCCCCCCACCCCGACCACTCGCCTTTTGCCAGTTGTAGCACAGGTTGTTGAACTGCTGGTGGGTGATGGGGGAGGGCACGTCGCCCTGCCAGGTCAGGAAGGCGTCGGACCCGGTGCACTCCCGCTCAAAGACGGCCGCACTCTGGGGGGCGACAGGATTGGAGAGCCTGGGAGACTGGCCTGAGGCTGCGATGCAGGCGAGGCGAGTGTTCACGCCGGCCAGCACTGCACGGATGCACACAACTGCTGCCACACGGCCCTCGGCCCCACTTCGCGACGAGGGTGACGCACACCCCTGCCTGCAGGCTCCTGCCCCGCAGCGTGCAAGCATGGCCGGCCGGCACTGGGCCCCCTCCACCCTGCGGTTCCTCCCCTCACCCCCTGACCCTCGAGGACCCCTGTCTGCAGGATCCCCCCCCTTCAGCCACGGGCCAACCACTCACCCTCCAGTGATCCACCATGACCAGAACCTCCTTGAAGAAGATTCCCAGGTTGACGCCCTCTCGGGGGGTGATGCAGCGCACCAGGTACCCAAACTCGCGGATCACCTGGGGCAGGGGGGGGGGGAGGAAGAAGCTCAGATGAATACGGTGACGCAAGGGTGCGCCGAGGCAAGAAGCAGCGCAGGCCCCTCACCAAGTGACGTCCACCCCACAGGCAGCAGCTCAGCAGCCCTTCCCCCCTGGTCCCACTGGCAGCGCCCACGCCAACCCTCCTCACATGGTTCAGGGTGGTGAGGAGGCCGAACCGTGGGACGCGCAGCTCCTGTATCTTGAGCAGGAACCGCGCGGCATACAGGGCATCCGGCGCCGAGTGCAGGATCCGGGGCAGGAGGCAGTAGGTGGCAAACTCGAGCGCCAGCGCCGCGCGGCCCCCGGCGTCGAGCTCTGGAACCCTACGCGTGGGCGAGGGCGATGGTGGGTCCGAGGGCGGAGGGGGGAGAGGCGACGCAAAGCCTGCTGCGCTCGCCGCCGCGTGGCGGCGGAGCGTCGCCCCTTGCCAGGCCGGGCCGGGGCTCTGAGAGCCGGCCTGGTTGGCCACCGGGCCGCAGAACAGGTGCTACGTGCTGCCTGCGTCGGTCGCCCACACGCCGCGCCGGCCAGACGACGCGACGCCAGCCGCGTCGGCGGCGCCCCCGCCGGCCTTCATAAGTTTGAGACCTCGGCCCCCACCTCATCCCTCCTCACCAGGTGGGCGCCGTGGCCTTCAGCTCCGCATCCACCCCCTCGACGGCGGCTGCCTGGTGCCGCAGGTCCAGCGGCAGCTGATCCAGCACGGCCTGCGCAGCGCAGGGCGCCGGGGCGTGGGTGCGATGCATTCACATGACCAGGAACTCACGACGGCTGTCCCCAGGGTGCGGGAGCGCGTGCACAGGGCCCCACCCCGGCCACCTTTGGGCCAAGCGGTCTGGGCGCGACCCCTGCCTCCCTTCCCAAGCCCACCTGTTTGCGTTCGATCTCCTTCTCGAGCTGGGGGATGTCGGGCCCGGCGGGGGCCATGCCCGCGCCGCCCCCGCCCCGGCCCCCCAAATGGCCCCGGGCGTCCCCCGCGCCGGCGGCAGCCCCAAAGCCATACCCCCGCGAGGAGTCTCGCCGGGCCATGGCGACCTCCTCGCGCATGTGCCGCACGCTGGTCTCCAGCTGCTTGATGGTGGCCTCGTACCTGCGCGGGTTGGGGTAGGGTGGGGTGAGGGGGAAGGGTTGGGGGGGTTGAGGGGGAAGGGTTGGGGGGGTTGAGGGGGAAAGGGTAGTGAGGGGGTGGGGGGTGGGGGGACCGCGAGGGTGTATGCTTCGGGTTCGGTGCCGCCTCACACCCCGTCACCCCGCTCGCAGATGCAGGAGCTGGAGCCAGCATCGAAGAAGTACCATTGCCCCGACGGACACTCCCCTGTGCAGCCTGACCCACGCGACCCAAGCACAGGTCGCTGCACCCTTGCAAGCATTGCGAGGCAGAAAGTCGGTCGCACCGACACCCGCGCCGCCCCTCCCGAACGGTATGAGCCGCTTCCGGGCCCCCTGACCCCATACCCAGGCCCCTCGGCCCCGCTCCATCAATGACGTCTCATCAAGCGGCCCCACCTGTCGTGTGGCAGCTCCAGCTCGTCCAGGGTGCGGGTCCAGAAGACGGCGTACAGGAGCGGAGAGAGGGCCCTGAACGTGGCCTGGCTCGCCATCAGCCGCTCCACCTCCGGCAAGATGCCGGCCAGGGTGCCACCGACGCCGGCGGCCGCGCCGTTTGCGACTGGCAGCGCGCCGTTTGCGACTGGCAGCGCGCTGTTTGCGACTGGCAGCGCGCTGTTTGCGACTGGCAGCGCGCCGTTTGCGACTGGCAGCGCGCCCTCCTCCGCGGCGCTGTCCGCCTCCATCGGGCCAGCCTCCGTCGGGCCGGCCTCCCCTTCCTCCAGCTCCCCCTCCTCCCCGGCCGCAGTGCTCGCAGCGGCAGACGGCGCCAATGCCGCGCGGGGAGGGACAGCAGCTGCCTTCACCATTGGGCGCACCAGCTGGAACACCACTTCCGGCTCGATCAGGTAGTCATCTACCATGCTCTGCGGGCCAAGCAGATGGAAATGAGGAGGGACTTGGAGGGGATGAGGCTGGGACAGGTGAGGGGCCAGGCTACATTGGATCCGCCCCTTGGCCAGGGCCCCGGGATGCACTTCCTCAGAGGCGGGGCCGCGCCCTGGTGAAAGTCCCTCTGACGCCAGGAGGAAAGGTGGACACGGCACCCTCCGGGCCCTTGGGAGCCAGCTTGCAGCATTGCGTCAGACGATGCGATATCCAAAACTGTAATGTCGTGGTAGACGACAACCCACACCTCCACCGGGGCCGATTTTCTGGCCCACCTGGATGGATGGCAGCAAGGCAGCGTACTGGGTCGGGGTCTGGGCCGTCTGCAGGAAGTCGATGTACTGCAGCAGCGTCTCCTGGCAGCTGTCGTACAGCTCCGCCACCAGCTTGAGGTGCGAGTAGCCTGCCTGCAGCGTGATCAGTCGCTTCTGCTGCGCCAGCAGGATTAGCAGGGGCAGGGCCAGCTGCTTAGTCTCCGGGGCCTACGCAGCGATCCAGTGGGAGAGAGTGAGGGGGGTTGAACGAGGATCTTGCAGGCGGGCGAGGGGCGCAGCAGAGAGTTTTCCTGCGCTCCGTCTGTCATGTCCATGTGCCAGAAAAAGAGGTTGCAGCCAGTGCTTGGCGTCCACAATGTGACTGGAGGCAGGCCAGCACTGCCATCCGCACCCCACGCTGCAGTCATCCCTTTACCATCAGGAGGGGCGGGTTTTGACGCCCTTGCCACCTGACGAAAGGGGAAGTGTTTGCCCGCCAACCCCCCAATCCAGACCCAGACCTCAGCCAGTATTGCCCCACCTCCGAGTCCTTGAGGGCGGCCAGCAGGCGCCGGGTACCACTGGCCAGGGCCTTGGGAGATGGCCTGAACTGGCCCTGGAAGAAGACCTCAACATGCAGCGCCTTGGACCCCGCCAGCGCGTCCAGCTGATGCTCGGAGACGTCATTCACGAGTTCGATCCCCTGTTGGGCATAGGGGTGAGGGGCAGAGCCATGAACAGGTGGGGATCAACTGTGCAGCAGGTTGGCGGCTGAGGCATGAGAGAATGGGGAAGTGGCAGATGTCCGAGCATCTTCAGGGCCAGCTGTCGCAGACTGCTCCCCAAGCACAGACTGATGCTAGGAAGCCTTGTCTGGGGCAGTAACCATAATGCAAGGAGTGCAGAGGCACAGAGGGCAGGAGGAAGGGGTCCATATCACTGCCACACGGTCACCCTACCTCCACAACAGCAGTACAGGACCCGCAACAACCACGTGCCCTGGCCCTCAATGAGCCCTACGGACCACAACATACCGTCATGGCAGTGAGAATCTCCTTGAGCACCAGGAGGTCCAGCGACTCAGTGGACTTGAGCTGGTTGGTCAGGTACTGCAGCAGCGCAGACAGCTCCATGCTCGGGTACCTGCGGCAGATGATGCCCGTGAATGCTGCCAGCCACTGGAACCATTCCTCCATGTTCACGCCGTCCTCCTGGCGGGTGCGGGGCGGGAAGGCAGGCTTGTGGAGAGGGAGGCAGGGTGTTGGCATGGCCAATATCACCACTCCACCACCATGCTCTGGCTCAGGGTGTGTGATGCCAGTTTAAGGGGACCCCCACGCCCACCCAGTGAATGCACAGCAACACCTTCCCTGGACTAGGGCATCCAACCCCCCACTCCCCCTGCCACACCTTGAGCTTGCGCTTGGCCGCAGACAGCTTGCGCAGGATGACAAAGGTCAGCGCGTCGAAGGTCATGGGCGTGGACAGCCTCAGGCTCTCTGCCACGGTCAGCACCATGCCCGGCATGCCCATCACCTGGACAAAGGGGTGGGGGGCTGGGGTGCTGCATTCTGCCCGCTCAAAAGGAAGCGGGTGTAAGTCGTCCAGAGCATGAACCTTCACCCCCTCCCAGGCCCTCCTGCGGTGTGCTGCACCTCCACCTTCCCAACAATGTCCCCCCTGACGCTTGAATGCCGGCCTTGCACGCCCCTGCTGCCCCCTCCACGTCGCTAAAATGCACGTACCTGGCGGATGAGCTGCTCCGCGATGGGCAGCGGCACGGCGTGGGTCAGCTTGGCCAGGCGCCGGCCCAGGGGCTTCATGGCCGCCTTGGCCTCCTTGTGGCTGCTGGGAGCCGTGACGCGGCGCAGTACGCGACGCGCCTCAGTCTCCGCCAGCTTCGCGGCGGCCATCAGCAGGGGGGTCCCCGCCATCAGCTCCTGCAGGAATCGAGAGGGGTGGGCCGCGGGTCGGGCACGTGGGAGCCATGGATGCTTCGTTTCCACACTACCGCCTTGGCGGAGAGGAGCCGCCGTGAACCCTGCACTCCCTGCGGCCTCCCCACAACCAGGTCCCTTTCAGAAATGGAACCTTCCCCGCGCGCCTCCCCCAGCGTCAGCCGGCCCACCTGGAGCGAGGCGTAGAGGGTGAAGCGCTGCGGGTAGGAGAAGCGCTGGAGCACAGCCCAGAGCTCGGCCACCAGGGCCACGTTGGTGGGCACCAGGCTGCAGGCCGGCATCACCACGCCCGACAGGATGTCGTTGACCTGCAGGGTGCAGGAATTGTGCGAGCGCTTGCTTGTGTGTACATGGGAAAGGGGGAGAATGCCACGTCTTGCATGGCGCGGGGGGAGGCCGAGGCGCGTGCCCCGCCACGTCAAGGGGCAGGTGCCCCGCGCCTGGGTGCCTGCCAATCCCGACCCGCCGCCCTGCCTGCAAAGCCTCCAAGCCACCCCACCACTCCTCTCACACACACGGACACACACACACACACACACACACACACACACGCACACACAAACCCACCTGCTGCTGAAGCTCTGCGCCGAGCTCGCCCCCGCTGGCCAGGCACCGGCCCAGCAGACGGATGAGCCGGGTCAGCACCAGGACGTCGCGGTACAGGTAGACGCCCAGCGTGCGCAGCGTATCAAGGAGCTGCATGGGGAGGGCGTCCGGCGCAGCGCCGCCCTCCTCGCTCAACCCGCCCAGGGCCCGGCTGATCAGCGGTCCAGCCCGCGCAGACAGGGCTCTGCCCACCGCGGGAAAGGCGGCGGGCTGGGCGACGCCCAGGCAGCGCAGCCAGCTGAGCAGCTCGCGGGCGGGGGCCTCGGCGCCCGCCGCGATCAGCCCCGCCAGCAAGTGGAGCTTCTGGTTGTTGGCGCCCAGCGCCTCACCGTACTCATCCGCGAAGCCGGAGGCGCTCAGCCGGAGCGTGCCCAGGCCAAACTGCCCGCCGGGCGCCTTCCCTGCCTGCCCAGGAAGTCCGATGGAGGGGGTGAGGACCGTCCCGCGAGGGATCACATGGCCCAGGGCCATGTGATCCACACGTTTAACGACACCTGGCCTGAGCACATGACACCCCACTGCCCAGCAGGAAGGCCCCCTGGCAGTGGAAGGGCAGGGTGCATGCATAAGCCCACTCAAGAAAAGGCACAGCTGCCAGGCGGCTCCCTGCTCCGGGGCCAGATATCCCTCCCACCTTTTCGACGAGGCTGATGATGCCGATGCGCGAGACCGACTCACGCAGCGCGGCCTCGGCGGCCGCGTGCGCGTCCGTGAGGTCCTCGTCGGCAGGGTTGAGGTGACTCATGATTGCAGCCAGAGGCACATGCCCCTCCTACAGCACCGGGGAGGGCAGGGGTACGCTCATGAAATTGCTGGGGAAGGGGGTGCTTGGGGCCGGCCTGAGGACCAACTTCGGCCCAGCGCTGCGGGACCCATTCACCACAGTGCGGGATGGCCGGCGCAGCACCCACTCCTGCCCAGGATGACATGGCACCGCCTCGTACCTGGATCAAGCGGGCGGCCACGGTGAAGAGACCAGCGGGAGTCACCTCCTCCCGGGCCCCCACACGCTCGAAGTGCCAGCCCAGGACCTGGGACATGTCCTCTTGCCTGCGAGTGCGGGCAATGCATGGGTTCGGGGCTGGCAGGAGGCAATGCAAGGCCTGCCGGCACGTCGGGGGGGCACACCAGCTGGGGCCAGCCACCTTTGCTCCTCATCTCACCCCCACGCAGGTCTTCTCCCATGCACCACCCACCTGAACCCGGGCAGGAGGTGCAGGAAGGCATGATTTTCCGGCTGTGCCACCCAGGCATCAATCCAGAGGGACAGCGCCCGGTTTGGGTCGAGGTCGAAGTAACCGATCAGGGCCCTCAGCTCCTCAAGCTGCAAAGGGGGATGGCATGCTGGTAAGGCAGGGGGAGCTGAGGCCTGGGGATACCTTTTTGGGTGGCTGAGGATCGCAGCAGCTGTGACTGGATCCGGAGCCCATGGGTCTGGCCTGGTGTGGGGCCTGTTGTGGAGCACACCCTGGCATGAGGTGCTGGCAATGCAGGCAGCATGCGACCCCTGACCCTAACACTCACCACGGCGCCCGCATTTGCCTCGGTGACCTTCCCCGCCCCGGACTGGTTCAGCAGCGTCACGAGCTTCGCCCAGCCCTCGCTCTCCTCCCGCAGCAGGTTGTACCTGGGCAGCGGGCAGACTTTGCTTTGATGACGGCGGACAGGAATGGGTAGGGGCATACCGGTCATCACAGGGGAGGGCTGCGGCAATGAAATGATGTAGAGAGAGGGGGAAAGCGGGGTTCCATGCATGAATGGCGTATGGGTCCAGGCCCGTGCTCGTAGGCCTGTGAAGTTGAGAGGGACGCCCCAACCAGGGTTGGACGCTCCGCCTTGACCCCACCAATCCCAAGACGTCATCCCCTGGCAGCAGCCCCTCGACACCCACTTGCGCTGTTGGTAGACGTGCTTGGTGTTGGTCCGAATCTCCTTTCGGCGCCAAGCGTCTCGTGAAACGACCAGCCCAACCTCCTCCAGGAACTCGCCCTCACCCGTCATCATCAGACACTTCCTGGTCACCTGGACGGGGCGGTGCGAGGGTGGGTCTGTGGGAGGAGGGAGGCTTGTGGCTGGAATGCCGCGGGCGGATGGCTGGCCGGCAGCCTCTGACTCGGCAGAGGGCGGCTGGTCTCCAACCCCCGGCGATGCATGGGGCACAGAGATGTCTTGGTCGGATTTCTCGGGCTCCACAGATTCCGATAAGGCGCGGCGCGCAGCACAGACCCGCCGCTCACCAGCTCGTTACGCAGGAGCTGCTGCACAGCATCCCTCAAGCGCGACCGCTTTTCTGGGTCCTCCTCCAGCTCCAGCTCGGCCCAGGCCATCCTGGAATGGGTGGGCACTCAGGGATGAGTGTTCAGACACATGCTACCCCACAGAGGGATGCTGTTCTCACTGCTTGATACAGAGTCAGAGGGCCATGTGTGCATGCTCCATGCTCGACACGGGTCAGGCCACGCGTCAGGCCACCGCCCACCACCCTCACCAGACGGCATCGGCGATCATGAGTGGTAGACTGGCAGCCTTGTGCTTTGTTAGGCCTGCTGCAGCCAGTGCAGTGTCCAGCTTTCCAGGCTCCAGCTGACCCAAGACCACCTGCTCTAGCAAATCCATCAGGAAGCCACAGGCGAGCTCCTGCGTCACTCCTGGAATGGTCTCAGCCACATCGCTGGCCACCACCTGCATCGAAGCGGACATTTTAAAGACTCACACGGTTCCAAAGTGGTTGATGGAGCCTCACGGGCGTGCATCTATGGCACCGCAGGCAGCTCACCGAGCCATCGTTGAGGCCCTTCACCAAAGCAGCCGTGACGAGCGACTCCCCCATCCTGGGTCTTTGCACACAGGCCGGCGTGCTGTTAGTAAGTCCTTTGCAGAAGCGATCGGCGTTACAAGAGCAGGAGGCTCCGTCTGCTCGACCTGCCTCACGCACTGCTCGTGGAAGGGTGCATCGGGCTTACTCCCCTGACATATAACGTTTGTCAATGTCCTTGGGCATTACCAATGCATAGTGTTTAAAAATTGATGACTTCCCAAACGATCTGAAGATCACAGCCCATCCTCAGAAAAGTGCCATTGATCGGATGTTGCCAGCCCCGAGAGGAGGATGGTCTGGCGCCACGCCGTCCCCTGTACTTGGCAGGATGAACCGACGGCAGCTCGTTGTACCTCGGAGCTAGTGAGGGCGCAATGCCATTGATACAGGCGCATCAGTATTTCAACTTCACCCGGCGCGTCATTCTCGAGTGCCCTAAGAGGGGGTGGCGGAGCTGCAGGGCAACCAAGGTCGTGCCACCACATGCGATGCTGGAGCATCTTCCTGCCCTGAACTCCCAGCGCATCATTCTGGCATCTGCATCTCCCAGAAGGCGGGAGTTGCTGCAGCAGATAGGCCTCAAATTCCAGGTACTGAGGCACGTCTGGTCAATGCTGGGTGGCATTGTCCCCCAGCCTCTCATGTTCCATCCCCTCCCTCAAAGCAGGTGGTGGAGAGTGGCTTCGAGGAAAATCTGCCAAAGACATCGGCTGGAGAGTATGCACAGCGCACAGCTTTGCACAAGGCTCTGGACGTCGCCCGCAGCATGCATGGCAAGTTTGACCTCATCATCGCGGCAGACACAGTTGTGCAGGTTGGCGATCGAATTCTCGAGAAGCCAAATGATGACGAGCATGCCGCTGAGATGCTTGAGTCCCTGTCAGGAAGGCGGCACCAGGTGTGCACCGGTGTCGTCCTCCTGACCCTACACGGTGAGCCCACCAGCTTTGTGGAGATGACGGACGTGTTCTTCGCGAGTCTGACGACCGCAGGCATCGAGGCATACATCGCGACAGGTGAGGCACACAGGTGCATGTACGGAGATGTCGATGCGATCACACAGCCATGCATCCAACGTGCCCGAACATCCGGCGCGCAGGGGAGAGTCGTGGAAAAGCCGGGGCTTACGGGATCCAGGGAGCAGCCGCATGTTTCGTGGAACGGATCGAGGGATGCTACAATAACGTTGTCGGATTTCCTATCTTTGCGTTTTCCAAGACTGTCGCCCGTCTTGTGGGTAAGGAGAAGCTGGGATAATCAACGAACCGACCGTTAGCTTGCCGATGTCCTGGTCCGGCACATAAAGTGTTGCAACACGAGGTAAGATGGGTATTAGAAATTCTCAGTACATCGACGAATAAGCCTCCATTGATTTTTTCAAGGACTGTTTAAGCAATGAAAATGCGTTGTGGGCGATGCCCGTCGCATGTCTAAAGGTGGATGTGTACCTGCATCCCGGTACACGGGAAGCCAGACCCAGTAGCTACACGAAAAGCTGTACCCCGCCGGCTCCGGAAGGGTCCACGTACAAAGACCCGAAGCACGTAGAGATGCTTTCCACGACCGTATTTCCAGCGGTTTCAGCGGTATGTAGTGGAATATACCATCTTAAGAGTATTGAACAAACATTTGTTATGCTCTGGTGAGGGCCAAGGATCCCGAAGCAGGCGTCTGCCGGCGTGCCTTCGCACCTATTATTGCAGATTAAGGGACATCCCTTACCTGCCGGCTGTACGCTTCGTGGCTGCTTTAGAGCACACAGCTGGACGCCATGGTCCCCAAGGGCCTTGTAGGCGTCGAGACATCCACACGAGCACCTCAGGACGGTCGTGATGCCGAGGGCGAGCTCGTAGCAACCACCCAAACGCCTGGCTCTCCGAGTAAGGATACCCCCCTACCTCCCCCTCGCGTGCGACGTGGCCGACCGAGAAATAAGCAACAATCTTGTCAAATAACCGATTGCCAAGCAAACTTGAGCCTGCTGGGTGCCTACCATAAAGTAAGTCGTTGGCAATCCACCTCAGTTATGAAAAATACATCGCACCAGAACCCCTCCAAACGGCACCTCCGCCACATTCCGCCCGCAGAGATACAGGGTGTGCGATGTGCACATGCGGTCGCTGTCCGTCCCTTTCCGAGGCGTGGACAGCCGCTTCTGCCAACAGGTGCATGGGAGGAGGGGTGGAGATGTTGTTCCCCGCCCCTGCCGCATGGTCACAATCAGCAACAAAGTACCCCCCATCCACTCACAGTGCGGCCGCTTCCAGGAGCTGAGCGCCTTTGACGGCGAGCATCGCAGCTGCCGCGAGCGCCTGCTGCGACACGCTGGCCGCCGCCGCCGGCAGTCCTTTCTCAATAGCATCTCTAATCGTGCCCTGGGCCGCAGCAGCGATGAAGACTCGCATGGCACGCCAGGCACATCCAAGTCAGGTTGGTGGCCTGGGGTGGTCCCTGTGAGTGCATCGTGACGGGGAGGGGACCGCAGGAACCGGTGTGAGCCCTGCATCAGACCGAGCGTGGCGTCATGATGGTGACACATGCAGGCACGCATGCGCCGGCTGACACTCCCCCAAGCATCGCCTCGGGGTGGGTCCCCCCGCAAGACCCTAAGCTTGCCCCGGGGATTGAGACCCATCGCTCCTGCTTCATCCCTCATGCCCGCCCATCCACCCTCCTCACCCGCTTCCCAGACGGAGGGTCTGCATGTGGCGGGAGCCCGGAGCAGCAGGCGGGGCCCCTCCTCCCCCGCCCGCGTCTCTCAGCCCGGCGAGCGGGCGTGCCACCTCGGCGCCGCCGCGCCGCACCAGAGCGGCTCCGCCGGTGCCACGGAGGCCATGCTGGGCCTCTCCATGCAGAGCTCCGGCAGCCTCCCCAGCGACACCCCCCCCATCCCCATCCTGCGCTGGGGCCACCGCAACCGGCGACTCAACTCCCAGCCCGAGCTGGGCGCCTCGGAGGAGCAGTACCCACAATGCTGGGGCCGCACCTTCCCCCCCACATCTGGCCACAGGAATGCCCTGCTGCGGCCCTCTGTGCAGCCGGTGGCCCGTCCCATATGGTCGCCGACGTCGGCCTTCCAACCCTACGCGCTCAGCACGGCGCCAGAGCCAGGGACCAGCGGAATGGTGCCCCCTGCGGCGAACCCTGCCGAGTGGGCCCGGCCCTCCCGGGAGTACGCCCAGGCGGAGCACGGCACGGGAGAGCAAGCAAGAGAGCCTCGCCCCCTCTCCGATGCCCATGAAAGGTACACAGGCCTGGATGCCCCAGACACGCTGCAGCGCACCTCGGAGGCTCACCAGCACGGCCCGGCGGCGCGGCAGTCGCCCCCGGGAGCCCCAGAGCCGCCCAAGGCGACGCGGCGCCAGCTGCTGAACGTACTCCGACTGCTGCGCATCCTGGGCCAGCGACAGCAGATCGAGGCAAGGCGCGATCCCCCTGCCTACCATGGCGGCTCTTTCCATGGCGCTGGATGTTGAATTGCTTGCTCGAGGGATTCAGCCCCATTTTCCTATGATTTGTGAGAGCCACCTTGCCGCCAGGCGTGGCCCCCCTTCCTCCGTCCTCGTGCACCAATCGCACAGAATCACTCGGGTTGTGTTCCACCACAAGGGAATTCTTGCTTCCCCGCTTGCCCCCATGCCAGAGGGTTTGCTCTTCCGCCGCTCAGCTATGTGCAAACCCCTGGAGTCTGTCTCCACCATCCCAGTGCAAAGAAATCTGAGCTCCCTCCCAGACTTGGTTCTGACAAACCGTTGTCTCCTCCTCCCAGCATGAAGGCAGCGCTCCCCTCTGCTAACACTGTGCCATTTTTTCGTGTTGTCTCTTCTCAGTCCAGACGACAGGCTTGGTGGAGGGCGGCGAGGCTCGCATGCAGCGCGCCGGGGTCGACGCACAGGTCAGAGGCCACCCTCTCCCTGGCAGCCAGGTCCAGCGCAGTCCAGGTGGCGAGCAGGCCACAGTCCAGCATGGTCGCACCATCCGGCCGGCCACGCCGGCGCCATGCCACCGCGTTGAGGCCGGCAGGGGCTGGGCCGGCGCATGCCAGGGCCCGTGCCAGCGATGCCGGGGGGCAGTGGGGCGCGTCGGCCCCGTCCCAGGATGGGCCCACCACAAGGCCCACCGCGCCGGAGGCCGAGGCCACCAGCACCCCCCAGGTGGGGGCGGGGCTCGGGAGCGCGCCGGCCCTCAGGGCTGCCAGGTCCACCTGCGCCATGAAGGCCATCACCTCCCCAGTGTGCAGCGATGCCCTGGGCGTGGGAGAGAGCGCGGGTTTCTCTGCAGTGTGGCCGCGCAGCCCGGGTCTGGGGCCGCCAGTCGCCATGGCGTCCGCGGTGCGCCGGCCTCACCACAGCACGTGGCCGGTCGCCTCGGACTCCCCCTCTTTGATCCTCATCCTGTGACCCCTGCGCACCTGTGCACGAGGCGCTGCCCCTTCCAGCTGTTGGCGTGCGTGGGGTCGTAGCCCAGCATGCGCAGCGTGCCGTCCAACCCCGCCATCACCAGGTGCAAGCGCTTGCCCGAGACCAGCAGTGCCGTGGCTGCGGGCTGGACGCGCGCCGCGTCCTTGGAGAGCAGCACGAACTGCCGTGTCTGCAGGGGAAAGGGGTGAGGCAAGGGGACGGTGGTGAGCTGAGCGGGTGCCTCACAAAGCGCCGGCAGGCACCTGCAGGGCTGCATGCCGGGGGGCCCCCTGCCTCGCCCCTCGCCTCTGTGGAGTAGGTGAGGAACGACAGGCCCAGCAGGATGTCCGCCAGCAGGATGAACTTCTTGATGACTTGCAGGCTGGTGATCAGCACGGGCCCATCGTAAAAGGCTGCGCGGGAGGGGTGCCGGGGTTCGTGCGCATGGTGACAGGCGGGGGCTGTGGGGCCAGAGGGGCGTCACCAACAACGCAGACCCCCCCCCCCCAGTGGAGCACCCATGCCTGGGCACCAGACGGGGCCACGGTTCCCTGGTCCCGAGGCAAGATCCTGGGGACCTCAGCATGCAGCGCATCACGCCTGGCCCATGCCAGACCGCCCCACGCCTCACCGCAGCGCTGCAGCTTGTACAGCGTCGGCCGGGGCTCCGCCCCGGGGGCTGCGTCCTCGCTCCCCGCCGAGGAGAGCAGGAGGCACAGCTCCAGGCGGTTACCCGTGGCGACCAGCAGGCCGCCCTCCACCACATCCAGCGCGCAGACTGCGGCCTTGAACTCCCTGCGCGGGGTGCCCAGGGCCAGGGCTCGTCGAGCTCGGGCGCCGACGCCGCGCTCGCACGAGCCGGTTCCCCCAGCGGCGTGGCCTCACCCCTGGGAGGCCATGGCAGCCCCGTGTGGCGGCCACGCATGCCTCCCCCCGGCGCCCAGGGGCTGCCCGCGCCGGCCGCGCGGGGCGGCCTCAGGTGCGCGGGCGGTGCGGGGCGCGGCCGGCGATGGCGCGCCTCCCATCCCCACCCACGTGCGCTCACCTGGCGTAGGCCATGCGCGACTGCCACCTGCCCCCGGCGCCCCGCCTGATCTCGCACAGCAGCACGCGGCCCCCGCAGGGGTAGTCCTCCCCCGCCAGGAAGCCGGCGCCCACCGCCAGGAACGGCACGGTGGCCCCGGTGCGGGCTTCGCGCAGGCGCACCGTCCTGATCACCAGGGCCCGCTCCCCAGGGAGCAGGGCATGCCGCCACAGCGCATCCCAGCTGCCGGGCTCCAGCAGGCGTACCTGCGCGGGGATGATCGGGAAGGGGGGGGGGGGGGGGGTCTCCCCCAGGGTGCACTTTATTTTGGGGCGGGAGAGGCGGCATGCTGGACGCACACCGCATGCCAGCCTGGAGCAGCGCGGAGGAGGTGGGGAGTCTCCTGCCGTGACACCCCTCGCACCTGCCCATGTGCTGGCAGGAAAGGTCCTGCGCTGCGGGTGCGCTGCCATGCCGTCAAGCAGCCCCGGCCACCCGCCTCACCTCATGCACGAGCGCTGCTGGGCCAGCAGCAGCGGCGGCTGCGTCGGCCAGAGCATAGGAGTAGGCAGCATGGGGCTCGCTGCCGTCCTCCTCCGGCATCGCAGGGGTGTAGGGCGCCTGCGCAGGCGTGGAGGAACAGGTTGGCAGGCGTTGCTGTCAGGTCGCACGACCTCAAACCCTCGCCGGACAGCCGGCCACCCCACTCCATGCATGGCGCACGTGTCGGCAGACGAGGAGGCCGATCAAGGAGGCCTCAGGGTAGAAGGTGGCCTGCAGGGGGGTGGCACGCAGCGCGATCTTCTGCCGGGCCCAAGGCCCGTCGAGCCGGGTTCGCGGAGGGAGCTGCCCAATGTGCAGGCCCCCCTGACTCCGAGCCACATCTGTGAACTCGGGGGGTCCGAGGGGGGAGAGGTTAAACGGTGGTTTGGCGGCCGCCCAGGCTCGCAGCGATGCGAGGCAGGGCGCCTGGCGGGCCACCCAGTCGCCCGGCACCTGGCGTCGCTCATGCGCACCCCAAGGAGCATGGCAGGGAAAGCAGCCTGGAGGGAGGCGGCCCCTCACCTGGTGCTGAGGCCACAAACCCAAAGGGGCAGTTCACGTTGTGGAAGGGGGTGAAGGCTGCCAGAGGGAGGTGCTGGCCCAGGCCAAAGGGGTGAGGGACCAGGGTGTTCCTGGAAGCCACCAGCAGCAAGGGCTTGGCACCTGGAGCAGGCAGGGGTGTGCGCAGCAACGTGGATATGAGTGGTGGGGCCTTGTGGTAGGAAATATCAGAAGGGCTAGAGCAGTTGGGCAGGAACAGGGTGTGTGCTGCATCATGGCCGCATACGAGGGTGGGACGCCTGCTGCCATGACCACATGGCGCAGCCTTGGTGGGTCCAAGATCGAGGCCCACAGCTGTCGTACGACCAAGGTCTTACCAGCCAGGAGGAAGCCGCTGCAGGCCAGGTCCTCCCCCATGCCCTGGAAGAAGGTGAGGCGAGGTGGAAGTGGGCCGTCAGGCAAACCTGGGCATGGAGGGAGGCAAGGAGGCACGTCCAGGAGCAGCCGCTTGAACCGCAGCTGGCCCCCTGTCCAGAAGGCGCGGTAGGCCTGCGGGTGTGGTTGTGTATGTTAGAGGGGTTGCACACGGTCTTCCGGCGCGTCAGCGGTTCCAAAATGCCCCCGCTCCGGTTCCCATCAAGCAGGGGGAGTCCGCTGCTGGGTCGCATTGCGCCCGATAAGGCACCCCGTTCTGGCCCGCAACAGCCTCGCCAACAGCCTCACTCACCAGCAGCGTCCCGTCGCTCAGCAGCGCCAGGAGGTACGGGTGCTGGCTGGGCGCGACGGCGCTGGGCCGCGCCGCGTCGCGCAGGTCTGGCCGCAAGGCTGCAAGACTCGTGGGCGCTGCGATGAGAACCTCGGTCGCCTTTATGGGGGGATGGGGCGGTGCCCTGGAGCTTGAGCTTGGTGGCAAGCCGGCCCCCAGCACCGCCTTGCCGCGGACAAAGTCCTCCTCCCTCAGCACCAGCTCCCACGTGTCGGCATCGTACACCTCCAGCGCGCCGCCCTCCCGGCACAGCGCCACAATGGCCCGCTGCAATGTCGACCCGGCCGCCGGCAGGCTGGCAAGGCAGGCGGCCGTCACTGCAGAGGAGCCGATCAGCGTCAGGGGTCCTGAGCCGTCTGGTTGGCTGAGGTCATCACGGCCGCCCTGCGCCGCGCCGAGTCGCACCGGCGCCAGCGCGAGGGAGTCGGGGTCCAGGCGCAGGAGCGCGAGCGCCCCGCAGCTCAGGCGCACCAGGGCGGCGGTGTCAGTGATGTGTGCCGCGAGGACGCTCACCCCGGGGTCAACAGGGTCGACGCCCGCGCCGCGCGCCAGGTCAGCAGCCCAGTGGTCAACCAGCATCTCGGTGCCCCCTGTGAGGGTGTGTGCTGGGCCCTCGATGGAGTGCAACGGGTGTGTCGGCAAAGGTACTCACGCCATGCCACCAGACTCAGCTGGCCCAAGAGGTTGTCGAGTCCCATCCATCAAAGGTCTATGCAGGCCCCCAAGTCCTACTCCCATTACACCCATCTCCATCATCACAACCTCACTCCAGACTTACGTAGGGTGCGCAGGCCCTGAGGGAACACCTGCAGCAGCAGTCGTCCGCCGGCCATGGACCCTGCAGCCAAGGTCCTGGTGTCCACTGCAAACTCCACTCTGCACAGCAAATGGCGCGCAAGCTGAGTGGCTGGGCAGCAATGACAGCGCAGGAAGGGAGCAGGGCGGACTTTGAGTGTGAGTAAGACGCCACCCTGCGGCCAGGAACATTCCTTCCGATACTCACACGTCCGTCGCCTCACGGAGCTCATCGCCGGTGGCCAGCAGCTTGGTGCCGTCCTTGAAACTCATGACGAGGTAGGAGTGGTGGGGTTGTGGGGCGGAAGCGGGCGCTTTGCCGTCTGCCGCCTCGCTCTTGGCACACCACACGGCCCACAGGCCAAGGACGCCTGTGAGAGGAGGACATGTGCAGGCTTTCAGAATGACGAGCACCCCAGGATGAACATACAACATTCCCAAATGAGGACGCCTGCGCCCCTCTGCCGGCATGCCCTACTCCAAGGCTACCAGTGCGGCAGCCAGATGAAGGATCTTCCACCCCCTGAACGCCACACATGGGGCTCAGCCCCCCCCCCCTGCCCCCCCTTCCTCCACCTGGTAGCGGCACGCGGGTGATGACGGTGGGTGTGACACTGGGGCGCATCATGCAGAGGGCTCCCGTCTTCTCAGAGCCGGAGCACGTCAGGAGGAAGGGGCGCTCCCCCGGCACGTCTGAGGATGGGTGAGCAGGGTCCCAGGTCGAGGGGGAGTGCCAGGTTTTGCGGATCATGCACCTGCCCACTGCCTTTACCAGGTTCTTCCCAACTGTGACATGGAGAAGGTCTTCGCTGGTAGTAGGGTGCCCCATCATACTTGGCCCCCTCGTCCCGCACCTGCCATGGTGATGCTATGGATGGGGCCCACGTTTATCAGCGCGTCCAGCACAGACAGGGCGTAGCGCATGGGCTCCGCCGCCCTGGACGCCCCTGCCCCATCTTCCTGGCCCAGGGACATCCCATACAGCCGCATGGCCTCGTCCTCCTCGTCGTCGGCCGAGGCGGGCGCGCCGGCGGAGGCCGGCGCTGCGGACTGGCCGTCCACCTCCATGGGCTGTGCGGCGCCACCCGGCCCCTCGCCGCCATCCCGCTCAAGAATGTGCTCCTCGTCCTCGCCCCCGCTCAGCTCCGGGTTGCTGTGCGGGGAGGGGGCGCCGCCCTGACCGCCCATTGATACACTATGGGCGTCGGCTGCGGCAGCAGCTGCCTCTGCGCGCACCAGGAGGGAATCCCCCAGTGCTGAGCCGAGAAAGAGCAGGGAGGGGCCGACCGAGGCGAGGCAGGTGGCTGGCGGAGAGGCGCCGGCCAGCGTCATCTGTGAAGATAATACCGTGCGGATCAGGGGGATTACATGAGTTGCCTGCCAATTTTGCCTCCACCCGCGTCGAATCAAGATTCAGAAGAGGCTGACGGCAGGTCCCAAAGCGGAGTGCCACCCAAATAATCCACCCCAAGGCAGGCCCTGAGCTCAGATTTCAGGGGACTGTACAGATTTCCCCCCCCTCCTCCTCCCCTGCAGCTCACAGTGATGGAGTTTACGGCGCCGCCGGTGCGCTCCAGTCGCAGCATCACCAGCTGGCCCGTCTTCACACTGAGGAATGCAGTGCTGGCCGTCAGCCAGCCCAGCGCGCCGGTGTCGCACTCCACGTCCAGCCCGGGTGCGGCCGGGCTGGTGGACAGCATTGTTGCGAGCGTCGCCTGTGAGGAGTTGTGGGATCATGACGCGCTGGATGCAGGGGGCGGGAGAGTGGCGTATCCGAGCCTGCTCGTTTCAGGGCCTCGACCAAGGTCTGCCACGTTGCCTGGCAGCATCGCCAGCCCTCGCCATCATGGGCATGGTGGACGTGAGGACAGCATCGCAGATGATCAAGCATCAGTCCCATGCATGACTTTGTCGACTTGCAGGGCCGACGGGCTGGCAAGCACAACATGCCCTGCTTGACGGCACGCTCCCCGTCGCAGCTCACGTCCCACAACCCCCACCCTCACCGGGTGCGGCTGGAGGTGGGCGCGGGCGTAGGCGGCGGCCGTGTTGCCCGGCGGCTGGGTCCCCGTGTGGTCGAAGACGAGGGGCGGGGGCGCGGGGCCGGGCCGTCCCCGGGGATTGGTCAGCAGGGCCAGGCTCTGGCCCTGCGCCACGAACACCACCCCATCCCGGCACAGGACCAGGGCGCCGCCGGAGGGCACGGCGGCCAGACCCCGGGCGTCGGTGGGTAAGCCCGGCGCGGACCAGATGCAGGCGTGGGTGCGGCGCGCCAGGGACAGGGACAGGGCGGAGGCCACGCATGTGTCCCTGCCGTCCCGCAGCGCGCCGGACCAGCTGGGCCGGGGCTCGTGCAGCACCAGCAGCACGGGCTCGGAGTAGCCGTGCAGGAAGGTGGCTGCCTTGACCTGGGGCGGGGGAGCAGTGACCAGGCAGGTCGGGGTGTTGAACGAGGGGGAGGGGGGGGAAGGGGGGGTGCGAGTAGCCTCAGGCGCATCGCCGCGACGGCCATTGCGCCCCCAGGCGCAGGCGCCCTGGGGCGCAGCGCATGACTGGGAGTACAGGGACCCCATAAAGCACACGACGCCACGGCTGGACAGCGCAGCGCCCCAGTAACCCCACCACGTGAGACCAGCCGCCAGGACAGCCAGGCCCCCCACCCCCACCTCCTGGATGTCCAGGGCGCTGCCCAGATCGTCTACGTAGCTGTTGCCGACGGTGCCCGCCTCCGGCACCCTCCCTGCGCCTGCCAGGCCCGCCGCCTCATCCAGCTCCAGCAGCTCGGGCACCATGGCGGGGAGCACCGCCAGCTTGTTGTCGTAAACCACCACCGCCCCGCAGCGGCCCAGCGGGTCCCCGGCGGCCAGGGGCCCGCGGGTGAAGGCGGCGCGGCCGCCCCGCATGGCCTCGTCGGCCTCAAAGTAGTGCAGGCTCGAGGTCACGAGCCCCGCCGAGGTCGCATCCCAGCACAGGACCGAGGCCTTGGCCTCCCTGCGCGATAGAGCGAGGGGAAGAAGGTGGGTTGGGCATTGTTAGGGCTGAGGCACTCAATTCGACTTGCTGTAGATACCGGCTTGCCACCCTCGCAAACCTGGATCAGAGAGTCTGATCCTAAGTCTGAAGATCCTCAGTAACCCTGATCATCTGCACCCCCTCCGCACTTGCCTGAAGCTGAGGAGGATGGAGTCCCGGCCGCGGCCCCGGTAGCGATACGGGATGCAGGCCAGGGACTCCACAAGGCCAGGCAGCGTGAGGGAGGCGATGAGCATCAGCTTCACATCAGCTCCAGCGCAGCTGCAGGGTGGGGATAGATGGGTGCAGCGTTGCCTGTACCCCGGAGTGGCTGTGCAGATCGCGGAGTGCCCACGGCAGCGCTATCCTCGTCTCCATCTGTCCAGAATCACTCGACGCTGTCCTGCCATCGTCACCTGGCAGTGTATACCTCCAGCAGGGTGCCTTTTGAGACCACAAGTTCAGGTAGGCATCCCTCCTGTGCTGGTGCCGTCAGCCAGATCCCAGCGCAATGCTGGACGGCAGTGGGGGGGTGCACCTGCGCAGGGAGGGCACGTAGGTCCTTGACTTTGCACACGAGGAGCTGCAAGCCATCCAGCTTCTCATCCAGGTCCTACCTGGTTGAAGATTCCCACGATAGACTCCGCATCAGGGTCCTGCATTTCTCCAAAAGCTCCTTGCCGTCACTGAGACTTAGGAGTGCAGGCTAGGGGAGCCGACGCGTGCGGTGCCAGGCGACAGCACCCCAGGTCGATGAGAATGCACAGATGAAGACATCGTTCACATATTGAGGCCAAATGCATACATACGTTGCGAAATCTGCGCGTATGCTCAACTGCAGCGCACTTCACAAAGCACGATCCAGCCTAGCCAGCTCAGCGCGCGCGCAGCTAATCGTGTGCTGTCGACAAATGACAGCCCTTACTCTGATAGGAGCGATGCTGATCGATGAACTACCATACATATATTCATTAAGCACCGCATCACTTCGGTGCTTCATCTCAACATAGGTACAGGTAAGACTGGAGTCAGAATGGGGTCGTGGGCGCCACACAGTGGCCACCTCCTCGTACAATCCCCTCCGACAATTTCCAACGCTGACCTACGTTGCACAGAAAAATGACATCGTTCGCCATGATGCGTATGTCGGGAGCCGTGCGCATGGCGCGTGCTGGCTGGGTTCGGCAGCAGATTGTGCGAACGCCGTCCACCCTGCACCGCCCACTGGTCATGAGCCCCTTGCGGGCCGCCAGCAGCGCCAGCAGCAGCGAGTCTGAGCTCATTGCCGGCATGAGATCAAAGATCCAGTCGGCGCTGGAAGCCCAGGAGGTGGACATCGTGGATGCAGGCGGCGATGGCAGGCATGTGGAGATCCATGTTGTCTCCGCGGCGTTTGCCGGCAAGAATGCGGTGGCCCGACAACGCCTCGTGTACAAGGTACTGCGGCGGGGCCTGGCGCAAACTCATCAGCATGGGCGGTGGCAGGGGCCAGGAAGGCATGCGCATGCTGACTTGACGATCAGGCCGTTTCCCCTCTCCCTAACACAGGCCATCTGGGAGGAGATGCAGCAGACGGTACATGCCGTCGATGCCATGACCACACAGACGCCCGAGGAGGCTGGCCTGTGAAGCAGGCACGGCTGCTGCTGGATGAGCAGACCCACAGTTGTGTTGTCTGAATCGAGGCTAAGAAGACCTGCACCGCGGAATGGGCCAGCCATTTTTCATCATATGACCTGAGCACCCTGTCCCTGGGGTGCCGCACACCTCACGCCATGGGTCGCACGCTTGCCACCTGTGCTGGCACCCTCCCTGCTGCAACCGTATTTTGACCAGCAATCTGCCATGCACCCGGCAGCCCATGTACCCTGTCGCCATGTCCTCATAGCGAGAGCCGAGCATCACTTCTTACAGACCATGAATCCAGATCAGGCCTTGACGGCGTACTTCCGCCGGGGGAAAGCAAGGTCCTTCTTCGCTTGCTTCTCGGTCTTGGCAGCAGCCTGTGCACAAAAAGAGGTTGTGTCCAGATCAGGGTGGGCCTCAGGCATTGTTTTGGACCACCCAGCAGACAGTTTCACCATCGGCGTGGACGCCAGGCGCTCGGCGGCGACTCTGCCAACCTCACTGCTCCGGCAAGCACGTGTCGAGCATCGCAGTCGTACGTTTTATCTCAACCCTGGGAGCCCCACCTGGTGCTTGGTGAGGCGGCGGCGGATGGCGCGGGTCTTCCTGACACGCAGGTCCAGGGGCATGTGCTTCTTCTTGGCAAAGGCCTCCTTCAGGGCATTGCGCTGGTTCTGGTTGATCACAGTCAGCACGCGGGCCACCGACTTCCTGACCACCTTGCTGCAAGGATGGAAGGGGCGCAGTGGGAATGGTCAGCACCCATCCCTCACCAACTCCCAGCAAACATGGCCACAAGTGCAGGCTGGGAACCTCTGAGGCGCGAACAGTCTGCCAGTCAGGATTGCCCTCTGAAATCCATCGAGGTAGCCACACCCCAGCCAACGAGTTAGTGCTCACATCTTGGACAGCTTGTTGGGGGCGCCACCGGTGACCTTGGCCACGCGCAGAGCGGCGAGCTCCTGCTTGAGGTCCTTGAGCTGCAAGAGTGATAATTAGGAAATGTTTCTAAGGAATCGTTGTCGCTGAGAAGGCACGCCGTCTGCTCTGTCGAGGGCAGCATCACCCGACACTCCATGCGCCTTCCTACCTGGCCGAGCAGCTCGGCCTTGCTCTTGGGCCGCAGCTCATGTGCCCTGACCTTGGCTGCAATCAGGGGGAGGAACGCGTGAACGGTGAAGATACCTGGCGCGCTCGCATACCCGCATATCGGCAACACACCGCCCGGGGACTGGCCAGGCCGCCGAACCTTCCCCGCCTCGCGCCAGTCCTCTCCTTCTCACCCATTCTAGTCGATTCAAGTAGCCACCTCACGACCTGGAAAGGACCTGTCACGGCGTGCGGACTGTGTATGAGTGTGGTGCCCAAACTCGCCAGGGAGCGGCCGTAGTACCCAGACCCGGGACTACCACAAGGTGCCCCCATGGCCGCAAGCACACTGTGTGTAGGGATATTCGGAAACTGGGCGTCCTCAAAAGATGTATTTTCGAGTTACAGTGACACCGATTCTGATGAGCTTCAGTTGCCGAATCAATTGGAATGAGGGTGGGACATGGCGTGATGATTGAAGTCTGCCTGAACCAGCCCTGGGCTAGGAGATGTCCACCGCCCTGGGGGTCTATGTGTACTAGAGACACATGAGCCTGGACCCTTCCAGAACTGGTGTGCATGCAAGGCCTTTCATCCAAATCCAAGTGCCCTTTCTGGAGGGGGGCCCCTTGCCACTGGACAGACGTCGGCAGATACAATTCCACGGTGCAAGACACAGGAAACATTGGTGGCGTTTGACAATTTGATTCGAGATGTGAAGATCTGGAGTAAACCCTTTGATAACGGCGTAATTCTGGGCCAGAAGTGACATCCTCACTGCGGCTGGATCGAGGGTTACAACAATAAACACACCGGGCCCACAAGCTAGATCGCCAGGCGATCCGGCTGGGCTGGGATCGTCCAGCTCATTAGCGCGGGCAAGCACGCACGCGCCCTCTCTTGCATGTCCCCAGGCTATATTTTCCCGAGACTCGAGGGTTTTGGAATCCAGGGTGTCGCATTTTCCCCCCAGACGAGGTCGATGGCAACATCCCTAATCAATCATGCGGTGGTCCTGCATGGAAAAGATGACCTTAGATACGAGGAGTGGCCACTCTCGGGTGAGAAAGACTGAGAACGCATCGGTGTATTATATAGAACTTCACGTTATAGAAGGACACCTTACACAGGATGCCGTCCCTGGCATGTGAATGCGTGAGAGGCCACCCTCTGCACCCCTGTGCAGACGAGATTGGCCCTGGACAAGTCAGGATTCAAATCAAGGCCGTGGGCATATGCGGGAGCGATGTCCACTTCTGGAAGCATGTGAGGGATATGGAGGAGGCGTGCGTCGTTGTCAGGAAATTGTTGCTTGCAGGCAGGGCGGCCATGCTGCGAGCCGTCGTCCAGCCTCGGCGCTGCCCCAGCCATGCCAAAGTACACCCCTTGAATCTCGACTCGCAGGGCAGGATCGCTCACTTTGTGGTAGAGGCGCCCATGGTGATCGGGCACGAGTCAGCAGGGCAGGTCGTGGGCGTGGGGCCTGGAGTAACTGCCCTGCACGTCGGGGACAGAGTGGCTCTCGAGCCCGGCATCCCCTGCTGGGAGCATCGACTGTCCAGGCAGGCTGGCTTCTTGCAGTGCATGGTCCAGGCGCACTGGGGGCTCATTCGTCAGCCGGCAACCCTTTCATGAAGACCTGAGAAAAACAATGGCAGCCGTCCACTGTCCCTAGCAGCCCAGACACGTATCTCCCTTTCGACCCAGCAGGAGTGGGTCGTATAACCTCGACCCAGACATCAAGTTCTTTGCCACACCCCCACACCATGGCTCCCTGTGCAATGTGAGGGCATGCGGGAGAAGGTTGTTGCCGCGCGCCGGCGCGCTGTTTGGGCGCCAGGGACTGCAGATGCCCCTGCTCGAGCGGTGTGGTGGAGCGACGTGAAAGCATGCACTGCAGGATCCTCCGCCGTGCGCAGCGAGTCCTCCTCGGCATTGCCGCACCCTCCCACCACCATCGAACAGTTCATCGACCATCCAGCCTACCTCTGCTACAAGCTGCCTGATAACCTCGACTACGAGGACGGCGCCATGTGTGAGCCGCTCAGCGTGGGCATCCATGCATGCAGGAGGTCTGGCGTGTCCCCCGGAAAGCGGGTCCTAATCCTGGGAGCCGGACCCATAGGTGCGCCGGGGGCGGGGCGAGGGGGGGCCTGGCTGGACCCTGGCCTGCCAGCACAGCTCCCGAGGAAGATGGTCATGGGAGCGCTAGTCCGGGCTGGTGGCATTCATCCATAACCTGCCTGACCTCACTCTGTGTCATTGCTCTGCGGCGCCGCTGGTCTCAGCGCATGCAAAGACTCTTCCCCCCTCCCGCAGGCCTCGTGGCGCTGCTGTCTGCCTCGGCCTTTGGAGCAGACTGCGTGGCCATCACTGACCTTCGTCAGGAGGCACTGGACCTCGCCCGGGAGCTGGGAGCCCGCGTGACCCAGCGCACCCTGCATGACGAGACACCGGAGGAGGCTGCGCGGAAACTGAAGGAGAGCGCAGCCCCAGACGGCTTCGACATTGTCATCGACTGCGCAGGGTTCGAGTCTACCATGCAGGTGCGTCTGGCGGCGTCTGGCGGCTCGAGTCCGGGAAGGCACGGCATGGTATGCATGAGCAGGTCCCTGATTCGCGGGGGGGCAAATAAAGGACACACTCGTCAGGAGCGCGCAGCGCATGCACTTGGAGGCCTGCCTGCGATGGGGATGGAGCTCGACACTCAGGCATGCACACCACGCCTCAAGCACAGACCGCGCTGGCGGCCGCCGCCCCAGGGGCCAAGGTGGTCTTGGTGGGCATGGGCCAGGTTGAGATGAAGCTGCCCCTCGGCTCGGCCTCGATCAGGGAGGTGGACATCCTGGGATCGTTCCGGTACAAAAACACGGTCAGTAGATGGAGATGGGATTTTCTCATGTTGGGTGTTGTAGCCAGGTGTACTGCTGAAGCGGCACAGGGAGGCTTTGCTGCGTCAGAGGAGGAACTGCAGCACGACAGTCAAGTGCCCACCCTGCACATTCCATGAGCAGTGACGTCACCTGCGCTCATTCCATAGCCATTGAAGCCACGGTATCAGTGACCGCTCATCCCCCAAAAACCTCGTCCACTGCAGTACGACACATGCCTGAGCCTCCTGTCGTCTGGCCGTATCAATGTCAAGCCCCTCATCACCCACCGGCATGACTACACGGAGAAGGAGGTGTTGCAAGGCTTCGAAACGGCTTCAAAGCCTGCAGAAACAGGAGCCATCAAGGTCATGTTTTCTTTGTAAAGCTTGTAGTGAAATTCGGTGAAGAGCACACCTGCCACCTGTTATGGCTCTTGCACTCACCCAGAACTCTGGGGGGGGGGCTGTCTGTCCAGAGAGTACAGATTTTGATGTTGTGCATGCAAGTGGGGGGGCCACGCCCTCCTCCCACCTGATGACCCATGGGTTCAAGCGTGCAAGTGTGCAATTACCTGTCATTGAAACGCTGCCACCGAAAGCGTAGAAGCTGGCTGTTTTTGAAGCTCGACTGCGGTCTCAAAGCTGTTGTCTACAAAGACACCGGGTGAACAAATACGAGCAAGGTATGCACGCTCTCTTAAAGACTTCGTAAGGACAGAATTTGAGAGGAAATTATCCCAAGTAGGGGTCTGTACAGATCCATTCAAAATCACGGTGCAGCTGGTCTCAGTGGATGAGTCAGCCTAGGAGTATCTTGCCAGGGCCCTTCCGTCACCAGACTCGCCCAGAACCCAACGGAGGGGTCTCGGGAGGCCTAAGGTCGCCTCATCCACCTGCCTCGCCCACGAAAAGCTACCAGTGCTACTCCCAATCGCATCTTTTTGAGTGTAGGCGAATTGACTTTCTGCAAAGGCAATAGCAGACTTCTCCCGACAGCGACCCCCTGCCGTGGTGGTAGAGGCAAGCGATCTCAGACAGACCTCGTGTTCGCCCGGCGACGGTGACCGCCCCGACAAAGTCATTGCGTTTATCCCGTTGCTCAATCAGCGACTCGTCGATCGGATATCGTCCTGGTTGCTTGGCGAGGAGGAGCAGCCATGGGCAAACCTGACGGACCTATCAAGCTGGAGGAGGGCTGGGCAATGATGGAGGTGGGTATGGTGCGGCGAAGTTGGGGCACAGCTCCTTCATCTCTTTCCTGCGTTCATTCGTATTGATTTTGCATGTTTTCAGGGCGGTATCACCAAGCTGAAGCGGGTGTTGGAGGGCGAAAAGACAGAGGTAAGGGCACGTGAGGGAGACATATCGGCGAGGTCCCTGGCTTGCACGCCACGCTGCCATTTGTAGACATATACCTGTGCATTTGAACAGCCGATCTAAGAATGTAGAGCAACACGCGCAGGCATTCACCGCCCAGGAGTACATGCAGCTTTGTGAGTGGTGCTGAGTTGATGGAAGCCAACATGGAGCAAACAGTCCAGACTCCCTTGCTGCCGCAGCCTGTGTGCCCGACTCACTGGAGGGGGGTCTGCTGGGTCTGTGGCACTCCTCACAAGCGCTTTCGCAAGACGCCACCGCTCCTCTCGCTCTCACAGACACCAACATATACAACATGTGCACCCAGAAGCTCCCATATGATCACTCCGAGCAGCTCTATGCAAGGTACTGCACACCCTCCTACTCTGAGCGGCTCTGACAGGGCTTTGAGAGGGTGCATAGATTTCGAGCATTGCGGCTGAGAGCATGCATCTAAGCTCTGCTCCGGATGGCTTACTTTGGCCCAGCCGCATTAATCCAGGGCCTCCCCCAAGCTCTACCCTCACAGGTATCGCACGTCCCTGCAAAACTACATTGAAGAGTGCGTGGTTCCCTCCCTCAAGGACCTCAAGGGCGTGAGCCTGCTGCGAACACTGTGCAGGCGGTGGCAGAACCACACGCTCATGGTCCGCTGGATGTCCCGCATTTTTTCCTACTTGGACAGATACTATGTCCAGCGGCACAATCTGAATTCCATGAACGAAGTGGGTCTCCTCGTCTGGAAAGGTGAGCCTGAGGATTGGGTTCGGGAGAGCTGGGCCATGGTCTCTTGCTCAACAGTGCATGCCTGCGGGGGAACAGCAGCCTGGTGACAGAAGTGAATTGCTCAATCAATGGTCTGTGCAAGTGCGAGGAGCGTGATTGGAACGGACGGGGTGAATCTGGTGCTGAAAGGCTCATGGAAATCTGATGCTGTGCATGATGCTGGTGGCCAAGGAGGCCCAAGGAGGGGTGTGCAGCCTTGCCAGGTCTCGAGTGCAGTGCCTGAGCTGCTCCCGTCCCGCTCCATCCTGGCGCAGAGGTGGTGCACGAAGTGATTAAGAGCCGCGTGACGGACGCCATCCTGGAGCTGGTGGAGCGGGAGCGAGACGGCGAGGCCGTGGACTGCCCCCTGCTGAAGAACAGCCTGGCCACCTACCAGGAGGTGGGCATGGGGCTGCTGGATGCCTACGAGAAAGACTTTGAGGCGGCACTGCTGCAGACCACCGCCAAGTACTACAAGAGGAAGAGCGCCGGGTGGCTGGAGGTGAGGGGCAGGCGGGCGTGATGGGGGAGCGCATCCCTTGCACTGAGGGTGATGGGTGGGAGACGCAGCTTTTCCTACTGCCTCGCCGGCACATCGCGGCTTGCCTGGGGGCTCAGCCGTCCACCTTGGCAGCTGCATGCTGTTCCTACACAGCATTGGCCATTCCGTGGGTTCCAGAATGTAACAGCTGCACGGATGGTGATAGCTGGCTCTGCTGCACATGCCTGCATGGGATTACCGACCCCTGGTTTGCGTCCCTGGCGGTGATACGTTCAACCTCCCACTTCTTCCCTGCCCGCCCGCACAGACATATTCCACGCCCGAGTTCCTTTCGATGGCAGAGGCGTGCCTGAAGGCGGAAGAGAACAGGGTGGATGCCTACCTCCACGTCTCCACCCGCACCAAGCTCCTCAGCACCGTGAGTAGCTGAAGAAGTGCCGAGGCCAGGCTGGCATGCTCCCGTACGGATTGGCATGCAGCATGCCTGGCGTCGTGTTGAGACCCATGGCACTGGCTGTGAGGCTCCGTTGTGGCCCTGGTCAGACTTGCAGCAATGAACGTATGCCACATCCTCCTGTACCCCCACCCCCCCCCGCCATAGACGGAGACAGAGCTGCTCAAGGAGCACAGCTTGAGCCTCCTGGAGAAGGAAGGATCTGGCTGTGCTGCCCTGTTGCGCGATGGCAAGGTAGAATCCGTGGGAGGTTTGATGGTCTGCTTGCCAGCTCTGCAGGCCTCGAAGGCAACCAGTGGATGTATCACAGAAGGCTGAGGATCATGTGCTGGGAGGCGTTTTGCCAAGAGCAGCGCCCTGTTGATCGCAGCCAACCAGGAGTATGGCCCATGTCCCCAGCGTATGATCTCACCCCAGGTCCCAAAAATCACCACTCCCTGAACTTCCCGCACTGTCCTCCACAGAAGGAGGACCTGGCTCGCATGTTCCGGCTCTTTGGTCGCATCCCCAAGGGCCTGGAGCCCATGGCCGCGATTTTCAAAGATTTCGTGGAATCTGAAGGTAGGCGCGGGGCTGTTCTACTGAAGCGGCCAACCATACCAGCAGGATTGATGGAGGACAAGGCGCCACCGGCCGGACAGCTCCTGCAGGGTGTCTGACGTGGCTAGGGCGAGCCCTGAGCCTCACACCCATCACACCCCCCCTTCCCAGGCATGTCGCATGTGCGAGCGGCAACAGAGGCAGCTGTGTCCAAGCAGGCCAAGGAAAAGGATGCAGGTGGGTGGGGGTGAACTCGAGGTACCTCGCAGTCCTGGGACCAAGTGCGGTGCGTGGGCGTCAGCAGCCTGGACAGGAGACGTTCTTCCCCTGTCCTACAAGCGTTGCTCACGAAGATCTCGAAAACCATGCACGTGTACGCAGCCATGCCAGACCCCTGCGCCCCCCGCTTCCTGTCCCCTGCCCAGGCAAAGCTGGCAAGGACGGCGCCGCCGCGCCAGAGCACCAGTTCATCCGCGTCGCGATAGACCTTCATGACACCTACTCTGACTACGTGGTATCATACTTTGGCAGTGCATCGCTCTTCCACAAGGCCTTGAAGGAGGCGTTTGAGACGTTTTGCAACAAGCAGGTGCCTTATTGTGGAGTGGGGCGTGGCTGGCTGGGCACAGATTCCTGGGACCGGCTGGTGCCAGGGCTGGTGCCAGGGATGGCTCATCAGGCAGCAGGCACTCCACATTGCTGAAGCCTCGGGTGGAGCAGCATCAACCAGCCCCTCACATACCATGGAGCATGCCGCGTGCAGATTGGGAGGGCCACGGTCGCCGAAGCCATGGCATCCTTCTGCGATTCCCTGCTCCGCAAGGTGGGCGCCATGCGCGGCTGCAGCCTGGGTGCACTTCTGTAGAGCCATGTTGCTCCGCTGTATCCATTTCATTGCCAATCCGATGGACAGAGAATTTCGGGAAGGGGGCGCTGGGCACTGCATTGCGACACTGTGGAAGTAGGCTCTCAAGTGCGACTCACTTCCCCCCTTGCACCAGGGGTCGACCTCCGAGAAGCTGACTGATGACGAGGTGGAGAGTCTGCTGGACAGAGTGAGTGTGGGTTGACGGCGCAGCCTCGTGGATGCTTGGCCGCGTGTGGATGTCGCAGAGGCTGGCAGTACCTCACTGAATGTGACTGGCCTCCCTGGCAATTGCACTGACGCCCTTCCCTCTCCTCCTTCCCCTGCCAGGTCGTCAAGCTACTGGCGTATGTCTCTGACAAGGACCTCTTTGCCGAGTTCTACAGGACCAAGCTCAGCAAGCGGTGCGCGCGGAGCCAGGGGTTCTGCGGAGGAGGCGTTGCATGGAAGCCAGGCTTCGATGCCGGCTCAATAATAGGGTGGCCCAGCCTCCATGTTCATCCCATTTCGCAATGCTGCACTGGGAGACTGGTGGCAGCAAGGGGTGAATGTAGGGTACACCAGGTGCACACCCCCCGTGTGTCTGCATAGTTGTATCAACATCATCCCGCCACACCTACCCTGTACCCTTGCAGGCTACTGGGAACCCACATGGCGTCCGAGGAGCTCGAAAAGGGGGTGCTGATCCGCCTGAAGCAGCAGTGTGGGACCCAGTTCACTTCCAGGGTGCGAAGAGGCTGTGTGGGGGAAGGACGGGACGCAGACAAGCGAGGATGCAGCGCGGGCGTCACGGCCTGTCGGCGCGTTATTAGGTGCACGCCTCCTGAACTTGCTGCATGTCCCAGCATGGGAGGCTGCCGTTCTGTGTCTCTCCTCTTTCCGCACACATCTCAAGGTGCTGCCCCTCCGCATCTTCCATGCGTTCAGATGGAGGGCATGGTGCACGACCTCGCGCACGCCAAGGACAAGATGGAGGAGTTTGTGAGGTGGCAGAAGAAGAGGGGCGTCACTCTGCCCGTCGAACTGAACGCCACCGTCCTGACTGTTGGCTTCTGGCCGACCTTCAAGGTGTGGGGTCGAGGGGGACGGGTCCTAGTGGGGTGGAACAGCAAGCTGCAGGGCTCGTGGACGCGACAAGGGACTCATCCCTCCATGGTTGGAACAATTGAGGTATCACCTCGCTCTGCATTCTCAAATGCAACCGAGGGGCAAGAGTCGCTTGGTGCTCACGGCCCGGACTCCCTCTCAAACCCCTTCTCAGAAAATCGAGCCCACCCTGCCTGAGGAGATGCTGATGGCCATGAACCAGTTCACCCAGTTCCACGAGGCCATCAACAATGGCTCCCGGCGCCTGACGTGGCATGTGAGGGCCTGTTGAGGTGGTGGCCGACTGGCCATTCAGTATGGTGCTCGTAAGGTCTGCACTTGATGCTGAAAGCCAGCCCTGTGCCTGGTGGCCCATGCCCTTTACTCCTCTTGCCACCCATCCCTGCATGCAGCACACCCATGGCAACGTCCTGGTCCGCGCGACGTATGACAAGACGTATGAGCTGGTGGTGACACCCACCCAGGCGACCATCCTTGCCCTGTTCAATGACGGTGAGTGGAGCGTGCATTGTCTGGGGGGGGCACATTCTGAATGGGATAGGCACTGGATGTTGTTTGAGCAGGAAGGAAAGTTGGCATGGCGAGCTGCTGAGCGCTTGCTTTCGGGAGGGGTCCAAGACTCTGTGATGTGCGTGCGTATGCTGACACAGCCAGGCGGGGCGGGAATTCGCCCCAATGGCCCTGTCTCGCCAGCACGACACTAGGTATCCTGCACACTCCTCTTTTCCCGAGCTGCCTGCAGCGACGTCGCTCAAGTACGTTGAGATCCAGGAGGCCACCAACATAGATTCTGACGACCTTGAGCGGACGCTGGCCTCGCTTGTCTTTGCCAAGCACAAGCTGCTGAGCAAGGAGCCGATGGGCCGGACGATCAACAGCACAGACACCTTTGCCTACAACGCGGGTTTCAAGGATCGGATGCGGCGTATCAGGGTGAGTCGGTGGGTTACTCGGGGAGGCGCTGGGCGTGCTGTGATTTGTAGGGGGGGGCCAGTGCTCAGCACCGAGGGTTCGGGAATGGGACGTGTCCCATCCCGCATGCATGTGCAATCTACCCTGGGCCGCCCCCTCGCCCCGGCCCCGACGCCTCAATTGCACGCATCCTTGCCCACACCCTGATCCTCCACAGGTGGCCCTGCCGCCGCTGGAGGACCGGCGCAAGGTGAAGGAGGACGTGGGCAAGGACCGGGTGCACATCATCCAAGCCACCATCGTGCGCATCATGAAGAGCCGGAGGGTGATGAAGCACCAGGAGCTGCTGGTCGAGGTGGTGGGCCAGACCCAGAAGATGTTTGCAGCAGATGTCAAGCTGGTAAAGAAGCAGATTGAGTCGCTGATCGAGGTGGGTGTGGCAGAGTGTGTGTGCATGTGGCCTCCTGCAAAAGCCTGTTCTGTGCGTCATCGATGCCGCTGTGCCTTGGACCCGAGCGCCTTCACTGAAGCCAATTCTTGAACATGCCATCTCGCACAAAATACCTTGCCGCAGCGCGAGTTCCTCGAGCGGGATGAGAAAGACACTGCCATGTACAAGTATGTGGCGTGAGGCATGCTGGGCGGTCTGAATCGGAACCTCTTGACCACTCAGGCTGGAGGACCTGGAGGAGCTGTGCCGAGGGCACGGCACACCAACAGGGGGGCTGAGGCCCCTGCCCTTCCATCCACTCGTCCCTCCCCCATGCATATGCAGCGAATGCACCCCCTTCCCCCCCCCTACCCTTTCCCTGCTGGAAAATGCGCTGCAGTATAGCATATGACAAGAAGCAATGGGGGTCACGTCAGGTCGGGGGGAAGCTCGAGTGGGGGCGCTGCGGCCTCCAGCAGGGCCAGGGAGTCCACACCCAGCTCCTCCAGTCGGGCACAGAGGACAGCCACCTGGGTTACAGAGTGGGATCGCGAGGAGGGTTAAGGCGCGAGAGCACCCGCGGGCCAGCTCGCCATGCAGCGCTGGGCGAGTCCCAGTGCTGCGGCCGCGTCGAAGAGCGCAGTCACTCGAGCCACGGAAACCCACCCCCCTCCCGGCATCCACATGCGCACCTTGGCTTCCTCCTGGCCCAGGCACACCAGGAGGTCGGTGAGCTCGTCGTCCTCTGGAGGTGGAGCCGCGCCAAGCCCTTCAGATGGGCCGCCTCCCTCCGACGCCGCGCCGTGTCGCTCCCGCTTGCGCAGGCGGGCCAGCTCGGCCTGCAGCTCTGCGGCGTGGCTGTCCAGGGATGAGTAGGCCGAGGACAGGCCCTCCATCTCCCCCTCCAGCCGACTCAGCGAGGCGCGCAGCGCGTCGGCCTCGTCGCGGGAGGCCTGCAGGGACGTGCGCAGGCCCGCCGCCTCTGCCAGGGCGTCCTGCAGCGCGGCCCGGGCCTCCGCCAGGTCCGCCAGCGTGGCGGGCGAGTCGGTGGTGGGTTGAGGGGGCTGAGCAGGCGGCTGCAAGGTCGCTTGAGGTCCAGGGTGGGTTGGAAGGGGACCGGATGATGGTGATGACGCTCCCTGCCCTGCGTTCCACAGCGCAGGACTGGACGCGCCGATCGCAGGCAAAGGGCGCAGGGCCGGGGGTGGCGCAATGTCTCGACCGTTGGAATCTCCAGAGGCAGTGCTTGCAGCATGTGGCGGGTCCCGGGCCGGCGCGGGGTCGGCTGATGTCGACACAGGCGGCGCCGCCTCCAGGCTCTGGCCCTGGTACCCGCCCGCCCACGCCCCGTCACCGGCAGGCGCCGCACCGAACAGCCCGGCCTCCACGCGCGCGGCGCAGTCGGCCAGCGCCGCGCCCCAGCGCGGCGTGAGGACCAGGACCTCCGCCCCGCTTTCCTCGTCGCGCGCGGTGAGCCGGTCCAGCGAGGCGCAGCGCACGCTGGCGTGGCGCGCCAGCGCCTGCGTCAGGCCGCGGTACGCGCCCTCGCCCATGGCCGCCCCACGCACGACGTCGGCGAGGCGAGCGGCGGTCTGCTGTGCGCCGGCCTCCGCGCAGGCGCGGCCGTCCAGCGCGCAGACGCCGAGCACGAGCGCGGCCAGGCCGCGGCACAGCGCGTCGCCCGCCGCACCGCGCCCGCCCACCGCGCCCATGAGGAAGGGCGCGCGCGCCGCGGCGGCCAGGAAGGCGCCGGCCGCCGCCGGGCAGCCGGCGGTCCAGGCCAGCACCGCGCGCAGCCCGCCCGCCAGCACGGCCTGCGCGGCAAAGGCGCGGGGCGAGTCGCGCGCCTGCGCGGACGCGGCGGCCGTGGCGGCCGCCAGCGAGGCCGCCACCTCGTCCATCAGCCGCGGCGCGCGCAGGAGCAGGGTCGCGCGCTCCGCCGCGCCGGCGCGCAGGAGCGCGTGCGCCAGCGCAGCGGCGGTGCGCGCCGCGCCCAGCGCCACGCGCGTCGCCTCGGCGTCCACCCCCGCGCCCTCGCAGTCGCGCGGGGCCAGGCGCAGGCACTCGCCCAGCCGCAGCCCCTCGCCGTCCGCGGGCAGGGCCAGCGTCGCGCCGGGGTCCAGCGCGCAGGCCTCCAGCACGCGGTCCGCCCCGGCCGCTGCGCGGGGGCCCAGTTTCCCGCTGAGAGCGGCCGTCAGCAGCAGGCCGGGGGCGGTGGTGGCGGGGGGGAGGCGCAGGGCGCTGGCGACTGCGGGCTGGGTCGTCGCCAGGAAAGCGTCGCGCGTGGCCGGCGCGTCGTGCAGCAGGCACGACAGCGTGAGGAGGGCCTGTGGGAGGGAGCGTTGTGGGCAGGGGATGGAGGCAAGGCTGGGTCATCGATCGATCGTGAGGGCAGGCTGCTCCCTATACACCCATCGAATGCCAGCAGGGCATCCTGAGTTCTTCATTATGAGTTTCCATGCAGAGAACACCTTGGCCCTGCAGACACAGGAAATACCAAACCTCAGGCCCCACCTCGGCCTGCTGCTGGTCATGCGCCGGCTCTGTCCCCAGGCAGCTGCCCAGGCCGAGGGCCAGGAGCCTGGGCAGCCAGCCCGCGGCCAGCGCCGCGGCCAGGACGTGCTGCCGCGTCTCCGCGCCGCCCCCCGGCCCCGAGCCTTGGCGGGAAACGGCCTGGCTGGGCCCGGCGGCGGCCGCCACCAGGCGCAGGAGGGCCGGGAGGATGGGGTCGGCGGCGTCGCCCGGGAGCAGGCCCAGCAGGGGGGAGAGGTGCCCCGTCCCCCACAGCATGCGCAGCGTGGCGGGATTGTCGCGCACCAGCGCGGCGCCCAGGTCCAGGCAGTCGGCGGCCACCAGGCTGGCAGGGGCACCCGGCGCGCCCAGGCCCTCCTCCCTGGGGATTTGGAGGGGGGGGGGGGGCGGGTCGGGTGTCTGGGTGGCCGGGCGCCAGACCCCTGTGGTGGCACAGCCATGCATCCCCACGGCCCAGGCCCACCTGGCGATGTCGAGGAGGCGGTCGAACCCGCCCTCGAACACGACAAGCTTGGCCAGCTCCGGGGCGCCTGGGAGCAGGCAGGAAAGGAGGAGCAAGACCTCGTTCCTCAGCACTTCGTGGCCCCCGCTCAGCACATCCAGCAACGCACCCACCGCCAGCGGCTCGCCCTGGACGGCCTGAGGGGTGAGAGGGGGGGGGTACAAATTGTGAGGAGGGTGTGGAATCCTGGATTCACACACGCTGCATGCCACGGCGTGCATGCAGCGCAAGGTGGCCGGCCGCTACCAGGATGGGGCAGATCACCCATCCGCTACAGAGGGACAGCCCAGTCTTCACTGGTCAGTACAACCCCGCAGCGGTAACCACCCGGCATCGGGTACCTCTTGGACGAGGGAGGGGCACGCAGCCACCAGACCCCTCAGCGCCTGCAGGCTGTGGTACTTGATGTAAAAGTCCGTCTCCGGCAGCAGGTTGCGGAGGAAGAAAGGGAGTGCCCCGGGGGTCCGGGCCAGCTGCTGCCCATCCACGGCTCCACTCTGCGCATTTGGGGCAAGAGGCCATGTGTGTAGGGGGAGTACGGTGGTTCGGTCCACACCCAGTGGAATGTGCCCCAGCAAAGATGCCATCCTCGTCCTGCTGGCCGTCACTCCCTCGCCGAACACAAGTCGGCCCTCACCTCCCCATCCTCAGCAAACACAGCGATGGCCAGGCACTCTGTGATGGAGCGGTCCAGCTCCAGGTCCTCCCCCGTCAGTGTCAGCAAGGGGGGGAAGCCGAAGGAGCCCAGGGCTGTGCGGGCAGCAGCGTCCTGGGAGATGAGGTCCTTGAGCTCCGCCACCGCCTCTTTTCGATCTCCAGGGAAGGAGCTCTCAGTTGCCCGGTGGATCAATGCATCGACCCGGGGTCCCGCCCTGTCCTGGGCCGGGGATGCCAAGAACTTGTTCAGTCTGTTCATGACAGCCGACCCTCAAACGGGTGGAGGACCCTCCCGGGACGCGGAGGCAATGCAACAATGAGATGCAAGGCTTTTGGTTATTGATGAAGGGATGAAGAGCTTCTCCACTGATCGCGAAGATCAATACTCTCCAAATTCGCGCACGGGTTGTCTCGCGCTCTGGCGCCCTCGCCAAATTACCGGAACGATCTGGGTCAGGGCGCACGATTCTCTGCAGGCAAATGGCTGGGGAGCGGCCTTCACACCAATCTCTGCTATACAGCATCCTTACATGGGGTGCCTGGGGCGTTGGAGCAGCACGCCAGCCATGCCATGCCAGGCAGAGGCAGGGACTGTCAGTGTCAAATGGGAAGACTGGTTGGAGCAGCAGAAGAGGGTACAGCAAGACGACGGGGGAGCGGAGGAGCAAGAAGTGGGGGGGGGGGAGCGCTGCATCATGCGCTGGCCTTCTTCTTCTTCTTCTTGGTCTTCTCTTCCGTGACCGGGGCCTCCTCCTCGGCGCTCCTCTTCTTCTTCTTCTTGGACCCCTCCTCCTCCTCGGCTAGCGCCTTGGCCTTCTTGGCCTTCTTCTTCTCCGTCACCGGCGCGTCCAGCACGATCTCCTCCTCGCCGCCGGCCAGCCCACTGATCACCTCCTTCATGCAGGCCAGGTTCTTGCGGGGGGCCACACCCTCTTCGTAGAAACGCAGCCTCTCCTCCACCTGCTCCTTCATCTTGGCCCCAAACGCGTCGGTCGACTGGTCCAGGAAGCAGTCGATGCGCGAGGCAATGGAGCACTTGTTGGCCAGGTACCGACTGTGGTTAAAATGGAAAGGCGGAGCGGGTGGAGGCATGATGAGAGGTTGGTCTGCGCAGGTGCTTGACTTGCCAGCTTCCCACATTCATGTACATAACTTCAATCACGACTAGAGGACCACTGCTTAATACGTGTCTGCATGTGCAACACAGTTTTAAAAACCCTTCCTCCACGGGCACCCCAGGCGCCC